TGCTCTGCAGTGTGGTCTTAAGCTATAAGGAAAAGGGAGTAAGGAAATAAGGTGACAGAAATTGTAAGGGAAAGGAGTGTTATGTGTCTGCATGTATACGAAGGTGTGTGCGTATGTGTGCATCTGTATAGAGATTTAAAGCTTAACAGTGAAGAGGTGTAGAGAGGCAACGTGGTTTTGGATGTCTGGCCTCCTGCAGATTGAATTAAGTGTAGATACATATTAAATTTTTCTGCATGGGAAGAGATAATAATTCTTGACTTACATTCGCAGTGGTGCCTGAAATACCTGCTAATGAGGACATCTTGGTGTTATAAGAAGATCTTTTGAAAATCGTGTTAGCCCAATGCTCACTTGTTGTAAAATGCAAATAAGATGCGAGGAGTTCTTAGAAAAGTCAGAGAACAAAGGATTGTGTGGGTGTATAAACTCCTGGTGCTTTCCCCCTTCATCCTGGGTGTTGTGTGTGGTTCTGGTCCCCCTCCTCCTGCTCAAAAATACGCATTAGACACGGTACAAAGATAAGAAACAAGGAGGGTCAGAATTACGAAACAGTTGAGTTGTCTGAGCTGTGGACCTTCTTGCCGAGAGAAACTTTTGGCAAAGTTGGGGTAGGTTTGAAACATAATGGGACAAAGGCATGAAAGAGGAATTTGTTGGTATCTTTAGGTGAGGAAGTCCTTAAGGTGCAGTTGCAGCATGCCTGGGATGGTGTTAAGGGACAGCATCACTCCAGTCTTGCATTGTTCCTTCAAGTTTTCTGCAGCTATCTGCTGGTTAGAGTCTTCTCTGCTTTCACAGATAACGTGCTCTTGTATTTTGAAGTTGCTTTGCCTGGGCTTTTTTGGTACGCAGGGTCGAAGTGTTTGGTATGCAGTGCTTAAGATTGGAAAAGGTCACCTAGAGTTGTCTTCAGCGTTCAGTGGTGATAAGGGTGATGAGTCTAGTACGTCTGCCGATGCCACAGGAAATCAGTTCCAGAAATCAAGGTTGTAACTCCCAAAAGATGGAAAGAAAAAACAGAAAAACTCCTAATTTCCATATGCTGGATGCTGCTCAGACTTGGAGTTACCATTCCGGTATCATTACTGCCTGGCCTTACCTGTAGGCTTTTAAGGAACACCAGGTTTTGTCCTCTGCAGTTTTTTTTCTCTTTAAAACCTGCAGGCATCCAGAATACCTAAATTTATGGTAATGACTCAATACTTTTTTTTACACCTTTAGAGTTTTAGTTGTTTCCTCAGTGCTTCAAGAAATACAAATCTAGCAAACAGCACACGTATTGCGTTTGGTGTGGTGTAACACAGGAAGGAGAAACTATTTTCTGTGATGCACAACACTGTCACAGTTGTTCAGAATGGGATGTGATGCAGGTCTGTTCTATGTACGCAATATCTGCATGGCTCGTAAAGCCCCTTGAGAGCTTCTGTCCCTTACTGCGTCCAAAATTGTAATTTATTCAGTCGTGATGCAGATCTGTTCTATGTACGCAATATCTGCGTGTGTTAATGCAGCATGGCTCGTAAAGCCCCTTGAGAGCTTCTGTCCCTTACTGCGTCCAAAATTGTAATTTATTCAGTCACAGTAGAGCCTCTATAACATATTATTAAAAAAAACCAACTGATATCTTTAAAATAATATCTGAATTAGTGGAAGGACCTATTTGAAACACCACTGTATCACTAATGGCAAAATTGCCAAGATGAAAGCAGCATAAAGGATTATTTTTCCCAGAACAAATATTTCACTGAGCGAAAGTGAATGGCCATTTAAAATGTATAATTTGATCAAGGAAAACGAGTATTCTTAAATGATTTGAACAAATCAGTAGCTTTTGTCTGAGATTTTTGAACGTTTATTCAGCCTATTGACTCTGTTCACTGACTCTCTCTGTACTCCACATAGAAAAGACACAAATGTTGGTTCCTAAATGGTGGTGCTGTTCCTGTTGATCTGTGTGCAGCTGGGGCTGTAAGATAGGAATTTAAAAACACTGCTGTAATTCATACCTGATGGAAAGACGTGCTCCGAACAGCAGCCTGAGAGCAGCAAGACGCGAACAGACCGAAGGAAGCACTAGAGATGAGGAGTCCCAGCATCTCTTGGCCACGCGCGTCTCTATAAAGCCGTAGCCATCGGAGCCTCTGCAGCACCCCTGCTTGCACCCACCTCTGCTAGATGCTGTAGTTGTCACTTGGCAGAATTCCTCTTGAAACTCTGAGGCTTCATCCTGCAACCTGTTGATATTGCTCTTTGCGTGCCCAGACCATCCATGGTCTCTGATCTTTAGCGTTAGGAGGTTTGGGGATGAACATGATGTGGTTTAGGTAAATTTTTCCCCCACATGCTGTTTGTATCCGATAACCTCCCGAAGACTAAGCTCACAAGTACTCTGTAACATTTCTCACTTTTGGTAGTTAGTTTTTCTTGCTTAACACAGGCTTTTTATTAACTTTATAGAAATGGATCCTGCCTTGAAGACCTACCTCAATCCAGCCTAGAATATAAACTGGGCTTGATTCTAAAATGCAATCTTGGCTTTGGGAGGAGTATTTTATGCATAAAAATTGTTTGCAGAATGAAGTTTAACATTCTTGTACCTTAGAAACTCCAGAGAAGACAAAAGCTTATGATCAATACTGTGTAAGAGCATTTCTATTTTAACCGTTCAGATGTGATTATTTGCTGTCGTATTTTTAAGTAGAGGCTGAAAACCAAGTAGAAATTATTAGGAAGGTTTCTGTGGCACCAGCTGTAGGGAGCAGGACACTCAGCATTGTGCTTCCTGCTCTAATTTCAGCATATTTCAACATTTAGGGTCAGAAAGGGGTTCTCCTTGTCTGGGTAATACTGTAACAAACTTGTTTGTGCTTGTGATAGAAGTTTGAAAAAGTCCTTCATAGCTGCCCGGGCATCCTTTGGGGATTTCTGAAGGCGTGTTTCTGCAAATCTGTTGCAAATAGAAGGTGACATTTTGAGAATGAGCCCTTTACTGTAACATATACCACCCATGGGTAGGGGTTTGCATATGTTTTCTGTTTCACTGGAGTACTGAAAAGCAGTATTTAGATGGGTTTCAGTTTACAAGTGTCTTTAAAGTCTATAAAACCCATTTAGGTTTTGATACCATAACATTTTCCTCTTAGTGGCAATTAGTAACTGAAGCTGAGCATTGCTCACTCCCTCAAGGCAGGAAAATATTTGAGGAAATGTGGAGATCTACGCTATATGGAGAACAGAAAATTACTCCTGGACCTGCTGGACACCTTGGAAGTGGAGAGGGGAGAAAATAGTGATGTCTAGCTTATGCTAACTCTACAAAAAAAGATGATTTTGTTTCTGTTTTCAGAGAGTTCTTGAAAGATCACTCAAAATCTGCACCATGAGGCTTTCTTATCAAAGCACACCCATGCACCTACACACTCTTGACTTCCTTCACTATTCCAGGGGAGATTTGTTCCACTTCATACACAGCTCCTCTTTCACTGAAATTTTCTTTAAATATTAATAATTATTTGTGTTTCTGTTTCAAATTGCCTTGGTGGCACTTGATGTATTTGTCATATCAGGAGGAAGGTCTGTGTATGTGGCAGTTCCCTAATAACTGGAGAAAGAAGGGAAGATGGAAATTATATATTGATGTGTGTAAGGGCACTTACTAAGAATTTCACTTACCCTCTAACTTGGGGGTGGAGGAGGTGTTTTGTTGCTTCTAATGCAGAATGTAAATAAACTGTAGAGTGTGTAGATCACTATTTATCTGCTTGGTGCTACAACTTTCATAGCATCCTTTTTTTTTTTCAGTGTAATCCGCCTTTTGAATTTTCGTACTTTAAGATGTGCTGCTGCATAGCTGTGGGAAAAAAAAAAAAAAAAAAAAGGATGATAACTTGTTGGGGCTTGTTTGCATAAATTTGAAATGAAATCATTAGTTGACTCTGGAAAAAAAAGCCGTTAATCTCTGTAGTCTAAGATATTCCTCTGCTTAATGGGGAGGGGGGGTTGGTCCTGGCCAAGGTAAGGCAGCACCGCAGAGGGGAGTGCCTGTCTCTCCTTGTGTGACAATACGATGTTAAAAGTTGGGTATTGACAGCATTCGGTACCATATGTTGCAGTGGTGCAGATAAACATCAAAGAAAAAGGGCCGCGTGAAAGGCGCGAGAGAAGAGGGTGCACCTGCCTGTCCCTGCCCTGGGAGGGTGCTAAATCTGCCGGGTATTGCACTCCGACGTAGGAAACAAATACTCCTAGCTAACAATAGATCATTAAAATATTTGGTGATCAAATAGAGTATTACTTAAAATATTCTAAAGTTTTTTCCAACTATATTATTTTATTTTATTTTTGTGTGTGTTCAAGGTCTGCTTGTCAAGAGTTTGACTCTTAGGGAGATCACTAGATGCCTTATGTGCATTTCTTTTCTGCAGACTGTTGCTTTTTATCTACAGTTTTTAGTCTTTAAAAATGCTACACTTGCTTTCATTGACCTGTATGTAATTTTTTACCAGTTTGGGTTTTTTATCCTGGTAGACCAATAAGCAAAGGACGACTGGGATTCCTGGTTATCTAATAACACCCTCTCCAGCCTTGTTCCCGCAGCCGGTGCTGCAGCTCCCAGTACTGCCTCTGCGTTGTGTCTCGTGTCCTCCGGCAATGCTGTCAGTTCCAGAGGAAACTCAGCAGCATCTCGGAGCTTTTCCTGATCCTTGCAGGAGTTTAAATGTCCCACGTACAGTCATTTGTTTGGCTAGAAAATATGCCTGGGCATTGGCAGGCATTTATTGCGCCTCTTCTGTTTCAGATCAGCCCACAGAGATATTTTAGCAGCGAGTTATTTCATGTCATTTACAGTCTCTGCTCTGGATATTTCTAGGAAACCTTTCAAAATAGTGTCTCAGTATGACAAGACCTTTGATTGTGCTCAATTCATTGTGTGTCTGGAAAGCTAGGTCTGTGCTGCATGAATTTATTTCTCTGCTGTTGTTTTTTTTGTTTCCTAGTGTCCCAATGTAATATCAGCTTGAAGAAGCAGAGGAGTCGAAGTATCTTTAGCACCTTATTCTGCTGCTTTCGTGACTACAATGTCGAACCACCATCTACCAATAGCACCAGTGCTCTTCCGCCCTTGGTGGAGGAGAATGGAGGACTTCAGAAGGTCAGGCTTTTACTTTACTTTGCTGTCATACAGGTCTCCTGTAACCAAAGTTGAACTCTGTGCTTCTTAAAGTTTGTCTTAAATGTTTCTCTCATGGGGAACATGTTATGAGTTACAGAAAAAATTACTATTTTATGGTGAATTGCAAATATTAGCTGTTCAGCTGTGATTTAAAACTGACTTGTCTGTGAAGGGTGTTGGCACTATACATTTTTTTAAGGAAACAACATTTAAAACCCCAGAAGACACTAAAAACGTGGACTTCTCATAATACTTCACATACCGAGTTGTCTCTAGCTTTGGTTCTCTTTCCCAGCCACAGGAAGGTTAAAGGGTGTCCACTGGAGCGTAGTGGAACCACTTTGAATGTCAGTTGAAAGGGTTTCCAGTGACATAAGAACAGTTCAAAAGCGGGCAGAACCATAATTGGACGTTTTTTTCTAACCAATTCACCTGTATTTAATGGACACTCTGTCCAGAGGTATCAGCTTTGGCCATTTTTTCAGGTTCTTTAGTTCACCTAACAAGTCAAATTAATAAATATAAACTTTTAGCACTTGTAAGAGCAGCACGTTACTTTTGTTGAGTTCTAGTTACTGTATTGCTTTGTCATATTAATAAAATCCCAACACAATTTTATATGTTCTTTTAAAATCCAGTAACACTGAGAGGATTTGCATTATGCTCCTGAAGAATTTCAGTTCAATATAGCAAACCCGGGAATACCATTTTTTCCATACCGTGTTGTTTTTCAGCACTCTGAACACTCCACTAGTGCTGCACTCTGAATTGAAACACCATTCCCATCCCGTTTTTCCAGGACTTTAAAGGATTGCAAGTGTAGGTGTCTCCATGATGGGGAGTAACAGCAGAAGTTGAGACATCTCTATCTTTTCAACCTTCTGCTCTTCACACTAATTCTTCATATTCGATGCAGCTGAATTCTTACCTACCTTGTCCAGTCCATTTTGTTTTGTTTTGGATTTTGCTGGTTATGTTTGAATTCTGAAAAGCTCAGGAGAAAGAGCATAGGAACTGTGTGGAGGAAGAGAGAAAAGGGAAATAAAGTGACTGAGCTGAAGAACACGGAGGGGGGATAAAGGCTGAACGGCAATAGTTGATGCTGAGGCTGCTCACGCAGAGGTACAGTACACTGAAAATTCCTCTGCCAAGAGGAGGAATTGTGTGTGTCTTTTCAGATGGCTTTGCTAGCCAACGTACAGTTTGACTGAAATGAGGGAAATCTAGCCTGGATATGCTGAAGGGAAAGCTGAGTAGTGTGCAGCGTGTATGTACGTGTTCACCTGAGAAACAAAAGGAATGGGACACTAGTGAAATTTCCCTTTCTGCTATGCTAGGGAAGAGAAAGGAGGCAGAAGTGAGGCTAAAGTAAAAGTACAGCTGAGAGAAAATGGGAGTTCGTTAGAGTAAAAGAGTCCAAGGAATATGTGTACAGGTCTTCGTAGAAGAAATCAAGTATAGCTGAGCTTTTGGGTAGCTCTTAAGTGAGTTCAAATAAGTCTGTGACATTTCTATTTTAAATGCAGTATTGAAGAGCAGTAAGTGTTGTGTGTGTTTTTATATGCTGTTTTTATTTTGGGTGCTAACATGGTTAGTGTAAGTAGGAAATTCTTGTAAAGAAAGAGAAACGGCATTGAAGACCTGGATACGTTGGAATATCATCACACAGTCAGGCTGGTGCTTTTCCCAGGAGAGCTGTGTTTTAGAACCGAGTTGCACTGAGCATCTTGTCTAGATTCAGAGCTGATAAGTGAGTACATGCAACCCTGGGCCTCAGTTTCTAAATTGGTGAAATGAAATGTCCCGGAATGACAAAATTACCTGTTTTAGGAAAGAAAAGAAAGCCTGACAACACACTGCTTTGAACTCCTCTGCTGTGTAAGGCTCTTGTTGCAGCAGTTTGCCTGCCAGGTTAAGAATAGTTTCACTTCTGTTGAGCTGCTATTCCAGGGGTCACTTACTGTCACTCTTGTGTGTTGTATTATTTATTTGTCACAACACAGTTGACCTCTGACCATGGCCCAGTAAGTTCACATGTTGTGACCCTTTCCTTCAAAAATAGAAAAAGCAAATTGCACAATAATGTTAAATAGTTACTCTTAGAAACCAGTATAAAATGGCTGGGATGTACTTTCCTTCTGTCTTTACTGTTCAGTAGAGTTGTTACTTGAAACGTGGTGATAAAGACTTCAGAGGAAGGAAGGGAACAGAGAAAGCTTCTGCTGGTTTCACAGGGATTCGGCGTTTGTTCCATCTTGCTTCTGGCATATTCTTGATGTCACAAGCTAACTTCCTTCTAATTAGGAGTCTTGATTCTTGAAATGCTAACCTCTTGTCAGGGAGGGAAAGCAGGGAAGAGTATTTTATGAAGAAATTGAAAACACAGCTCTGAAATTTTGTTCAGAGTAATTGCATTGTGCTGTATAATTTTTATTGCTGTTATTATTTTGCTGCATTAAAAAAAAACTTAAATCAGTGCTTCAGATGAAATCAGTGCTTCATTTAATATTTTAGCAAATGATGTGGCTTGATTATGCTTGGCAAGTCGAGTGTCGTGTCACTGCTTCGTAGGAATGGAAGAAACGCCAAACTGAGCATGGTTTTGAATAAACAGGGGCTTTCAGCACTGACTTGTGTTCCATTAGGGGAGGAAAAAAAGCCCAAAAACTTCTTTAAAGTATTGAGTTCACTTTTAAGCCTTCTACTCACAGAGCAGCTGCTTGTCCAAGTGTGACTCTAATACTGGTAATGAATGGTCCATTCTGTCTCTAAAGTTTCGATACAACACTTTTCAATAATAACTTGTATTTACTGGAACTATTCTATTTGTTTTTCTTAAAATACCACAGCTTTTTAGTACAGCACAAAGATGTATTCCAAGATGTAATATCTGTTACAGTGGGTATATCATCAGCCTTTCTGCAGCTTGGATGCCGAGCCAGATGTGTCATTGGGAGCACACAATGTTCAGCCTCATGAAATCCTTGCTCATTTTTTCCTGCCTCCTCAGCAGCAGGCAGCTCACCAAGACCTTCCAGCCAGTTTTGCTTTTTTTTTTTTTTTTTTTTGGTAGGGGCCAGAGTGTTGGGAGAGGGAACTGTTTTTTGTTTTCTTCTGAATAAATTCGAATCTCAATTTCTGTTCTTCAGTTAGCAACTTGACTCAATTTGTGTATTTTCTGGGCATGCTTCTGGGTGTAAGGGCTTTTTTCTGAATAAGTTTTTTATCTGATTTTTGAAAGGTTTGCAGATATACATTTTATCTGCAGGCTTCGAGGAGCTATCTGGAGAGAGAAAGGTGAGAAAAGCTAGTTGCAAACTGACTTGCTCTTCCTTTCGCCTTCAGTCGAGGTGGGCTGAGGGAGTTCTAACAAGTCGATCGGCACTTTGCTGTTTCACTTCCAACCTATTTCCACTAGAGTCATCTCTGCTTGTGTTTCACAGTTAGATACGAGTCAGGCAGATGGCTCATGTTCAACAAGATGAAGCATGGATGAGAAAAAGCTTTTTTACATTTGTTGGATTAGAGGAGAAGGTCTAAATCCACACTCAACAGGGAAGAAGACAGAATTAGAAGAAGGTTTATTCTGGTGGCAGCAGCTGTCCCCACTGCTTTCCCTGTAACAGGAATGAAGCTGGAAAGGTCAGGTCCTTGAATTTCCACCTCACCCATCTGAACCACTGCAAAAGTGAGGTCTCCTCATGCTCACTGCTTTTTGCTCCATGGTGCTGTCTTCTCCAAAGTGATACTGGAAAGCTCTTTTGATGACCTATTGTCATGTCTCCCAACACTCTTGTCTGCTTCAGGGATCTCTAACACAGTGCAGGAAGAAGGATCTTCGCTATCCCACGTGAATATAGTTCACTGGACTGAGAAGAACAGAGCTTCTAGGGAGCACGTTCTTGAGGCCAGGAGTAGTATCTCCTTCATGCAAGAGACCTAGAGGAGCAATGTGAGCATGGGCTCTTTAGGGAGACTATTAATGGCATGCTTTCCAAACAGAAATGGAAACCAGTCTCACTCCCCAGTGTTGGAGGAAGATAAGTGGCAATCACGTCAATAGTAGAACTCTTTCTCCTGCTTAACCTTTGCTGATCAGAGCAAAACAGTTCCTAGTGGTTGTTTCTGTTGGTCACCATCAGCACACAGTATGGTAGGTCTATTTAGAAAACAAAAAAACCCTCTGAACAGCTCTGTTTGGTTCCTCAGTCTCTGCCTACTCATTCTGACCTCCTTTGCCTCCCCAAAAAGTCTTCTATATTAAGAGACAAAGCTCAATAGTCCAATAGTTACTATTTTATTGTTTTTGAAGAACCTGCCATGGTCTGGTATAAGCTTTGTGCTAAAGAAGTGAATGTGATAAGTGTCTTCTTTTGATCAGCTTCTTCTCTAAAGGGGGAATTCTTTAAAATGAAACAGCTCCTTATCTTGGAATAGAGACTGTTCTCAAAAAAGCAAAACACTGTGGTCTGTCACGTGGTGCTCATTGATCCTGTACCCAACCATAGACAGACAGCGGTAACAAACAGACGTGGTACTGGAAATGTGTCTCTCAAACTGAAATTACATGGTTAAGGGAAAAGGTAGGATTTGTCGTTTGATCTGTATATATTGTGCCATGAAAAAAAAAAAAAAAAAATTTAAATGGCTGAGCAAATCAGTTCCTGGGTTATCTTAGTGATACAATGGGGAAATTTTGGCATTCTAGGAACAGCTTTGTCCTGTTACCAGCATCAGGAGCTTGTGGAAAGGCTTCAACAAATGCAGTCATCTGTCATCTATTTCAAACGATAGCGTTATGACCTACTTCCCTTCCTGTTCCAAGGCATCAGGAAATGAGGCAGGACACTTGTAAAAAGTTTCCCATAGCAGCCTTGTTTTTAAAAAGCATTTGCCTGCTCGTGAACACTTGTTGGCAGATTCTTGCATTTATTTTTCTGCTTGTTTTTCCAGTTGTCATCATTACCATTTTGATTTTTGCATACATACTTTTTAGGGTTCCTCTTAGGAAATCCACTTGTTTTCCTTGTTTTTTGATTTAAGAAATTCTGCAAGAAAAATGAAACGAGCAGTAAGGCAGGTCCTTTAGTAACGTATTTTCTGGATTCCCGTGCAAGTCAGCCTTAACAGTAATACCATGAGATACAGCTCTTGCTTCAAGAGGTTGCCAAAACAGAAAGCAAGTTATGCTGCGGTGAGTGCCTCTGGAAGTTTGTGGGAAAAGCTGATGTGATACACAGCTATATTTGTGTCCACAAGTAAGATAGTCTTGTACCATAACTGTGGCTGTGGATATTGCTCTACCTCTCTTGTTTTCATCTGTTGACAGAAGAGGAGCTCCAGTTGTATTTTATTCTCTCTACCAGTGAATGCAAAAAATATCTTTAAAAACAAAACTGAACATGGTTTCGCAATCTGTGTTCTGCCTGCGTAACTATATCCTTGATAACAACGTGATCACAGGCCAGCTAATCCAACTGGCACCTGCTCAAGTTCACTCCTTTCTCAAATGGCCCATGAACTTCAGGTGGTGTTCTGCTAACAGGACTTTAATGTGCTGTATTATATGTTTGTTTTTTTTTTTTTTCTTCCTGCCATTACCTTGAGGAAAATTGGAATTCTTACCAGGTTTTTGGTTTGTTTGTTTTGGTAGAAATCAGGTACTTTTTTAATGAAGCTTATTTCTTGGTAGTTCGTGGTAGTTGCTGTTCTCTAGCTGCTTCATCAGCTGCTCTGGATTTTGATCAAACTTGAGTAAAAATCTCTGCTGTTGTAGCAATAAGAAAAGAGGATGCTAAAAATAATACTGCATTACTTTTGTTTGTCAGTGATATGTCAACACCATGTTAGACTCCAAAACAAGCGAGCACAAGGCTTTCTCAGCTGGAAGAGGATGTTCTGATGTTGGAATCAGCTCTTTCAACAGATAGTCAATCTGCTGGTAGTCAGAGCCTGTGTTGTCCAAGTAATTAAAGAATAAAATCATCTGTCTAAGCAACATCTGTGCTAGAAGGGTCACCTTCCTCTTTTATGTGCTGTGCCCACCAGAAAACGAATGCTTCTTTTTGAAAGATTAGAAAATACGGTTCCTACTTCCCAAAAATCTGGTACATATTTGAGTTGGTGACCCTGAGAGCAGCCTTTCTCCATTTGGAAGCTGTCTTTGTCTTCATATGTCAGGTCCCAGGATGAGAAGAAAAGGTCAAGTTGGCCAAGACTGTCTTGCCTTCTCCCAAGTACAACACAAAAGGGAGACCATGGGAAGAATGCTGCTGTTGTTTCCTCTTTCTTGGGTGCATTGGTTTATCGTCATCGTGTCCTTCTTGGACATTTTTCTGTTGCCCTGGTTTTTCTGAGGCTGTTGTCTCAAGGGAAGTTAACTTCAAGGAGTGGGCTTCTGCCCTGCTACCGAGGTCTGGCTGAGCCTCTTGTTGCTGCAGTGACAACCAACAAATATACCCATTAGTAGAAAAAGTTACAGTAAATACAGGTACTTTCTTATTATCATTTCTTATTAATCATAGCATGGGTTTTACCAGTCCAGTCTCCTAAAAATCATAAATGCCAATATACTAACAGATCATTTCAGCGACTAAAATGCAAGAACCTGTTTGGTTTCTTTTCTTGTTTTTTTTTTTTTACCCTGGTTTCTTGAATATTTTGAACTTTTGGTTTAAAATGTTTGAGTGCTACATTTACTGCTTCAGACCTTTGTTCTACCCTTTAAAAACCATTACCCTTACAGTGATTTTTTTTTTCTTTTTCCCCAGGGTGACCAGATGCAGGTCATGCCTATACCAAGTGTATGTATTTTTATCCCTTTTTCTTTTCATAATTTTCATAACTTTTGCTTTGATTCATCTTATGTTGCCGTCTAACAGGTCTGTTTTGTGTTGCATGTTAACAAAAGGATTTTATGTTCTGTCTGCAATGTTGTATACTCAGAGATGAATTGAACTGCACGTGTTGTACGGGGACTGAAAGAAGAGTTTGGGTTTTATATGGTTTTCATCTTGCATCTCAGTTAAATTAATTTCTAAATTTTTATCATTTTGCAAATGTGTGTAGTAGTCTGAAAGCTGAAGTTACTTTAATAGAGACAACACTCATCATCACTATGTGAGACACAGTTACAGAACCTTTTCCTCTAATTTTTCCTTGTATTCCAGTTGAAAAGAAGGGTTAGAAACTCCAAAATTTGTTTGAAACAAGCCACTTAAGGAAAACAAAGAGTACACTGACCGTAGCCGCATTACTGCGCTCATTTGAGATGATGCTCTCAGTGTCAGCTGCTGTTTTATGGGCCTTAATATTTCTGCTTATCTTCCCTGGATTAAACTTGGAATGCTGTTTGGCATCTGAATTATTTTTCAAAACTAAATAAAAGGAAGGGGAAAAAAAAAACCAATTCTTCAAACTGAAGCTTTTAATTAGGTTTAACCTTTTTTGGTCAAAAAGCTGCTCTTCTTTAATTTGCTTTTTATATGGATGAAGACCTGGGATTTTAACAGTGGAAGTGCTTCTATTAAGTTCCTTTGCTGTTCATAATATTTTATTATTGCAGAGTTTTCCAGGAAAGAGCAGTGCCGATGTGTGGAGTTACTGACACAGCACTCTTTCTTGAGATATTTAGTAGCCCCTAAAGACGTGAATATTCCCCAAGATTCTTTTCCCTTCCCTCTCGTGCAGCCCGACATTACAAGACTCCCATAAGGACCCTGCCCGTGCTGCAGTGCAGGAGATCGCTGTAACTGTGCGGGTCACTTCCCTCCTGCACCACAGCTTCTTGGATTTAAGAACTGTTAGAAATTACTCTTTCTAGCTTACCTGTTATTTCCAATATTACATTACTTCTTTTATTGCTCGTGCATACGTTTGCACGCACGTGTGTACGTATGTATACACAGACATGCACATGCACGCCCGCAGGAGAGATGGGGAAGCTCTTTGTCAGGGAGTGTAGCCATAGGGTGAGGAGTGATGGTTTTAAGCTGAAAGAGGGCAGATTTAGATCAGATATTAGGAAGAAATTTTTTCCTGTGAGGGTGGTGAGGCAGTGGCCCAGGTTGCCCAGAGAAGCTGTGGATGCCCCATCCCTGGAGGGGTTCAAGGCCAGGCTGGATGAGGCTTTGAGCAACCTGGGCTAGTGGGAGGTGTCCCTGCCCATGGCAGGGGGTGGGACTGGATGGGCTTTAAGGTCCCTTCCAACCAAAACCATTGTATGATTCTGTGTATAATTTGTATATATGCAAGTCTGGGAATAGAAAAATTTGGATGTATGAATATACAGATTTCTAAATCCCTTTTACATACTCGCCAGATGCAGTTTGGCGGCTGTAGTTGCTCTGCTGGTAGTTACTTGAATGTAAAGCATGTTCTGACTGTGCTCTGACCTGGAATAAAATTATGCCTGAGAGTGATTCTAGGTATTATTGAAATAAGATTTAAAACAGAACGAAATTTTGAAACAAACGTGTACAGCTTTGTCAAGTACGAACACAAAATGAGATACTTTGCTAGAACACCATCCTTCTGATGTTAGAGCAGTGCTCTGTTGGATTGGTAGTGGTAGGAAAATGAACGATTCAAGAAGGGTTGTTTAGTTGTTTGGGGTTTTTTTTAGGTAGCTCAGCTGTAATTTTGCTGAACTATATTCCCAGCACTTTATTAAGGCAGTAAAATTAACTTTGCCGTCATGAGGTGGAGCTGTCAGGTGAGCAGGTGACTTTAAACATGTTTGATCCTGTTTCCCGGTGCCATCTGATGCCTTCTTCCAGCAGGACGTGCAAGTGTTGTCAAGCAGCCATCGCCCCCAGCCAGTTGTGTGACATTTACTATCCAAGTATCAGGGTGCTGCTCCCTGTCAAGCACAAGCCAGAGAGCATGAGTACATCATCTTCTAAATAAAGACAGAAGTGAGCTGCGTATGGAGAGGGTGGTAGGAATGAAGATGCAAAGCCAAGCTCGTATTTGAAAAATGCCCAAAATTATAGTGGTCCTTTTTGCCAGTCTTACAGGGGCTGTTTGTCCTGAGCACTGGAGCCCAGAGATTCACTCTGAGACAACTCTTAACCATGTGTTTAAGACTCGTGAAGGCAGAAATTCTTGATGCTTTGCTACATAGGGTCATGGATGAGGAACAGGCTGTTTGAACTGTATGTATTTTACATACCAGGAGAAAAATCCTCTAAACAGTGAGCTTGGTCACGATCAGGTTGGACATTTGCTTTTTATGGGGCTCATTGCAAATGTAATCACTCAAAGTGTTTAGCGAATTCCTTAGTGACTCTGAAAAGAGCACTGCCTGCTCTCTACTCATTAAACTTTCAAGTTGAAGCCTCCAGTCCAAACTACAAGGCTTTCTGGAGCTTCATCATGCATGCATAAAATCTGGCAGTCTGTGGAGCTCACCTGCTTGAAAACTTCCATTGCTTTACGTATGTATGTGCATTATCCGTGAACTGTAGCTTGTGGTGAATGCGATTTTTTTTTCCTGTATTAATTGCACTTAATTTAAAAACTTGAATTAATATCAAATTTCATTTAGTTATTGATAGAGATAACTGCTAAACAGGAAACATTCCAGCTTCAAGTTAGGTTCTTCAGAAAATAGAAACAGTATGACTTTGTTTTTTTAAAGGTGAACTTTATCCTGTTTGTGTCTCGTATTCTGAAAGTGTTTCCAGTAAGGCATAGATTAAACAGCAGCATAATTGATTTTTTTCCTAATACTGCAAAAGGATTTATTTTTAAGGCTGAAGTAAACACTGATAAAACTAGAACAAAAAACAATAGCAGCTGACAGTTGAGCAGAATGGCAATCTGAGGAGTTTGGTGATATTCCTGAATTAAAAGTATATTAAGTGTAGCTCAGAACGCCTGTGCTTTCTTGGATTTTTCTTAGCTTTGTTTGGAAAGGAGTATGGTAGAGAAATCAAAGTAGACCCATAGCAACTTCAGCACTTGCTTTCATTCTTTTGAGTGAAGAGGTGGATGGAAATACAAAGCCATCCTTATGCACCTGCTTAGATGAGTTGGAGTGTCCATTTATTTTGTTCAATTTAAAATCCCAGTATTAAGGCATGGTACCAAAAGTAATCCTCAGAATCCCTGCAGAAGTTAAATCTTAGCACCGGGATATTGTTTTTTTCACTTGTCCTCACCTACATTTAGACAATTTCTTGTTACAGCTTTTTCTAGAAGAAATTCTGTGAACTGCCTGTTTCATAACAGGAGCTAGCATCTTTTGACAGCTGTGTTTTAAGTAGGAATAATTTATCTGTTATTAGAGTATTTCTATGCATAGCTGCTGGGAGAAGCTGTTAGCTAGGCAGAGTGCAACCAAAAGTGAGAATTGAAGGGAACACGAACAGCAAATTAATGGGCTGCACTTGGGGTAGACAAGATTTCCAGTAGACAAAGGGCTTGTTAATTCTGATACTTGTCTCTGTGGGAAATATGAGCCTACAGGGGAGAAAGGTTACGATTGTTTTATACAGTACATTTCTGAAAGGTTTGTGTTGACCAGCTGTTTATGCTTCAACCAAAAGTCCTGTTTCTTGCCACCACCCCCTTTTTTTTTTTTTTTT